ACTTTGGTTCCTATCTCTCTCCAGGCCATCATACTCACAGCTGAACTGTTGGGCTCTGGGGTCCCTCAAATATTACCTGTGCCAACATTGCTGGTCAGAAGAGTCATGTGGGAAATGAAAGCATGGGAAAGGCTACAGGATAAGGAAGAAAAAGTCATGAGTGGCTTCCACAAACAAGCCATCAGATCAAGTTATTTTCAAAGAATGGAGATTTTAACCAATGTCACCCCAATACAATTAATTAATTAGAAAATAAATTAGATAAATAAATAATAAATAAAAGAGCAGAGCTGTTTCCACTTCTCTCCGAGGTGCTTACACTCTCCCAAGCCACCTGTTAGGATATCTAAGACAGAATACCCCTGAGTATGTGCCTGACTTCACCTCTGTCCTGACTGTGGGACCAAGAGTAGATTCAGGTCCTAGAACTGTCACTTTGGGGCACTTTTGTTAAGGGGGCTCACACTGTACATGGACTTCTTCTCTCCGACAAGCAAATTCTTTTGATTCTGTTCATTTTAATTCCTCTGAAAGAGGACCTCCTTGGCACACTTAATCTTGTCGTGCCAGGCCCTCACTGGGAGGGAGTTTCTACCTCTGTCTGGGAAATCAGGAAAGGCCTCGAAAAGGCTGTGACATTGGAGATAGCCTTAAAGGAGGATAGGTGCTGCGTGTAGTGTGTGTGTGTGTGCGTGTGTGTGGCAACTGCAGGATATTCTAAATCTAGGGCCTTCATGAAACTATTGTTTACTTTTCTCCTTTTCTAAATCATAAGAGTCACATTCATTCTTGAGAAACTAGAAAGAAAGAACTAGAGTGCATCTGTCTCTAAGTCAGTCTCTCTCTCTCTTTCTCTCCCCCCCCTCCCCTCGCATTTTGATATGGACACTTAAAATCTAGAATAATCTCTCATTCACTCAATATTCAGTGTCTGCTCTATGCAGAGCATTTTACAGGTAATAAAGTACATTTTACAGATCATGCTATACAGTAGTTATTGTTACAAAATACACTTAACTCATAAAAGCAAGGCTCAAGGGGGTTAAATAACTTATTCAAGATCAAATAGCAAGTATAGGAGAAAGGAAAGTTTTTAATCCAGGCTGACTCTCCAAAACCTATATACTTTCCACTACACCACACTGGGATGACACAAAATAGTATGTTAGATCTGATATAATTGACTTACATATCAATAATTTGCCATTAGGCACTACAACCAACATCTGACACACTCTAGCTAAATATTTTCCTAAACTGAGAATTCAGATTATGTACCCAAAAATGAATACCCATAAAATAATTCTATGAGTTTGAAAAAGTTCTCTAAGCAGATTTTTTAAAAGAAGTTTATTTTTAATGTGTAATACCTATAGAAAATTCTGTCTCTCTGGCATTTGTCCTTTTCTTCTGCTCTGAGAAGCATATCTATTTATTCATTTACTCGAGGTCCAGTGCATGAAATCTGTGCACAGGTAGGGTCTCTAGGCCTGGCTGGTGATCAGGGCCAATCAGGGCTTTCTGGTTGCTGGCCGGCCAGGGCCTCCCTTCATTCCACACCCCCCCCCCCTGGTGGTCAGCACACATCATAGCGAGTGATAGAACTCCCAGTCTCCTGTCTGCGGGATGAACTCCCGCAGGGACACTTTGCATATTAGCCTTTTGCATATAGATAATTATGCTGCCTTCTACATCATGCACTATTCATTCCCCGCTAAGCTCTTTATATTTGCTTTTGGTTAGCTCAGCATAATTTATTGTAGGACTAAGAAATCAATTCAGTTCTTCTGAGTAACTTTATTTTTGCACCCAATCTTTAGGATTGTAAAAGTAACAGATGCTTATTGTATAAAGGACAAATCATGATGTCTTAGGAAGTAAAAAACCCTGACAATTTCACCCCCAGACATAACAACTATTAACAATGTAGTACATAGACTGTCAAATTTCCTCTATTCATATAACCAACACATATTATATTTATACATATTTTTACATAAATGGGATCTGCCATACATTCTGTTTGGTGATTTTGTTTCCTTTTGACAAACATCTTAGTTATCTTTCAAACATCTTAGTTGTCAGTATCTATAGCTTGATCTCAGCCTTTGGGTAGCTTTTGACAAAAGAGAAAACATCCCTTTCACAGAAATAGAATGAATTTCAAATGTTTTGCTATGCTCGCCTTAATCAAAACAAAGTCTAGGTGAGAAAGTTGGGATAATGCTATATATTGAAAAAAAAAGTCAAAGTAGGTTAATAGTTGCTGCTAATAAACAGTATGTTGTTGTAACTAACTCAGCCTTTTTAAAAAAAAAAAAAAAAAGGCGGAGTTGGGGGTGGGGGATGGGCTGTTACAACCACTTTTTGAATGAGCAGCCAATGGACAAGAGGGGAAATGAGAAAGGTTTTGGAAAATACCCTTTCATGGGAGCTGCCTTCAGGTAGTGGATTGTAAACTCTGAGGCATTTTCAACAGCTTGACATTAGCTAGAAACACACTTCGCAACACCTCAGTGCTGATCTGTTAAAGCCTCTCATTTAGTGTGAAACACAAGACAGATGATTCAGTGTGGTGTGCAATTCATTAACCCATCAAGGGCTTTCTTCCTGAGCCCAGGATAACAGGCAGAAAAAGAAATGTAATCCTTAATGAATAACAAAGGGCGCTGCTGGAGGGCTGGGAACACACACATTCACGGCATGTGATGGGCTCTCCTTTTCCTTCTGGAGCCACCCGTTTTCTCCTGAACAAACAGATTTTCACCATAGATTGATCCTGCCTGGGAGCGAGATGAGTTTTTTCCCCCAACTGTCTTAGAAATGGGAAGTGACACAAGTGATAGATCATACTCACAGAAGGCCATATGTCTAGTATCCCAGGTCTTGCATTGTGGAGTGAACCAAAAAAAGTGGTCAGAGCCTTGTCAGCATTTTCTAGGACACCAAAGAGAATATATGTGCTCAGGTCAAGACGTAAAAGTTAATATTAGTCCAGGGATTACCTGAAATTTGCCCTTTTGGAACCCAAGTAACAGTCTTCAGAACACTGAATATGCTATGTTCTTTTTCATGTTTTTTTACCTGGCTTTTGGGCTTATCAGAGAATGCTGAGGCTAGATTTACAGAAAGCAAATGTTTTGTGATAATATTTTTATTTTTTAATCCTCACCCAAGGATATGTTTTTACTGATATTTTTAGAGAGAGAGAAACATTGATGTGAGAGAGATACATCGATCAGTTGCCTCTCACACACTCCCGGACCGGAAATTTAATCCGCAACCTACATATGTACCCTGACTAGGAATCAAACCTGCAACCACCTAGTGTATGGGACGACGCTCCAACCAACTGAACAACCCGGCCAGGGCTTGTGATAATATTTTACTGATTTTTGTCGAAACACTTTTTTCTTTTCTCCACAGTATTTCTTTACTCCATGAGATATTTTGATATCCAACTAAGATTCCTGGCTTGGGAATCTTCCTTTTTCAAATGAAGAGTTTAAAAGTGCAAAATATTTAGAAGCTAATCCTTCTGTCTTTTCCCTAAATCTTTTGGTTTGCTGTTATTAAGACGAGATCCAACAGGTAGGTTACTGGAAAATCTGTGTCCTTTCTCAGTGTAATACTGTGGGAGTTAGAAAGTAGGTTTGGGAAGGATAAAAGGAGGATAATTGAAATATCTTAAGCCATTTGCAGGGCTCTTACATTTTCTGAAATATTATTCTCATCAATAATGTTTATGTTAATAATTATTAGGGTGACCAAATGTTCCAGTTTGCCCAGGAGAATCCTAGTTTGTGCCTGTAGACCAGTATAATAATTAATAGCATCCACTTCCTCTTTCAAAAGTGTTCTGGCTTGGGCACAAAATTATATGATCACTCTATTAATTGTGTAAGACAGTGTTCTGCCATCACAATGGAAGTAGGGTCATGGAACAACTGTACATTGAACTGTACAGTAAACAATGACAATTTTCTTTCAACATTTTAAGTGCACATATTTTTCATGCTAGAAATTTTTCTTCTATGAATTTATTCTCATACAGAAATAGAAATTCTATTGCTTTGAGCAGATTATATGTGCGCACACACACATATACACACACAAGAATGCTTACTGAACACCAGAAAAAAATTTAAATGTTTATCAAGAGTCTAGTTAGATACAATGGAATCCTAGGTAACTATTATCAAAGAAGGTGGTATGTGTCTGTGTGTTGAAGATATGGTGAAATGTCCAAGGCATGTTTTCAAATTTAAAAAGCAAGCTGTGGAGGGATATATTCGGCACTGCTCGTTATGCTGGACCCGAGAAGCCTTTACATTCTCCCATAATCTCCAGCTCCCGCCCCCACAACCACAACAAATCGAAATCAACCTAAATACTAACTGGTTACTATGCAAATGAAATTTCCTGTCTAACCAGATTGCCCCTCCCAAGGCTTTCCAATATAGAAATTTTTGGAAGTGCCAAAACCTACAATATAGTCCTGTTGTAATATGTATATTGGACCAAGATTCTCAAAGCTCTTGAATGACTACTTCTGGGGAGTGACTGTTATTCCCCTCTGTACTTTTATTTTAACCCAGAATCATATATTGCTTATCATTTAAAAAAATCTGTTTAAAAGAAATACATGTCAAGTCAGTTTGCCATGTAAGATCAGAAGTGCCTGTGGGGCATCTAGGACTCTTTTATTTACAGAGAAAGATTAGAGAGCCAGATCTTTGGTGCCTTTCCTGTAAATATACTTGGGAGCACAGGCTATAGTTATCTCCCAATTATCAGGATAATTGAGGAAATAAAAGTTGAAATGCAGCTTTATGTTTCCAACCTTTTCACAATCATTTTAATTGGATCCGTTAAACAAATACATTAGTTGCTTCCTCTGACTCTCTTGTGGAACTAGATTATAAAATATAAACCAACTGTTTTAAAAAAAATGGAGTTTCACTTTTTCCCCCCTTTCATTTCTTTGCTCTATCTTCCAGGACAAGTGTGACTCCAAAGGCTCACAGAAGACGCATGAAGGTTTGAAGAAACTTCACTGTGAAACTAACAGATCAAATTGTACCATTTCAATTTTCAAGGGTTACAGAATGTTCCCACTCAGTTTTAATTTTGGAGTGAAACAAGAAACTAAAGAAAAATGAGCTAATATAAAAATCTAGAGTTGGAACTATCTTTCATAGATAAACATGCTCTAATTTTCATTTCTCCCTCCTCACTTGCACCTCCCCACCTACTTGGTTAACAGTCATCCTGGGAGTGAAGGTTTCCCTCCAGGGTCACCTGCTCTTCCCTGCCTCCCAGCTCCCCTCCCACCCACTAATCCCATATCCACCTCCTCCTCCTCCTGCCTGGCAGGAAGACTCTAAAATTAAGCACGTTCTCTCTGTTCTCCTGTACTGTCTTATAAGGCCACATTTATTTTATTTCTGTTTGTTTCATCATTTGCTCCAACCCCCTCTGGGGCTTCCTTTGGAGCAGAGGCTGATTAATATTCATATTTGAAGCATCAGTGCCTGACATGATACTTGGCACGTAGTAGGTACTTTAAAATGCTTTTTAATGAATAAAACCTTGACATAAATACAGAAAAGAAAAAAAAGTCCCATCTCTACTCCACAGAAAGAAGCTACAGAAAACACTGCAAAATCCCCCAGGGAGGGATTCTCTTAGGCAGGTACAGCCTTGTTTTTAGTTGGCTCTTTGGCTGGTGTTCGGAAGCTTGTCTGCATTTCTTCCCTATTGGTTTGAAATGCTTTAATAACTATGGCTTTTGCAGTTTTCCTAACCTTTTTTTTTTTTTCCTGGGGAATCAGAGTTCCATCCTTGGAACTCACCAGGTGAGACGACATGCATTCTGCATATACCTGTTATTATTGGTTGTCTTAGCTGTACACAATGTTCTGATGAACTGACTCAGGAGACAAGTGACTTATGCCATTTTCCCTGCAACCAGCAGTGACCTAGAGCACTTTAGGCTGGGGAGAAATTAGTTCCTCGCACTCTCTAGCTCTGTAGCTCTGACTGTAGATGGAGTCTGGGCACCATCTCGGCATCCATCAACATGACTGAATTAGTGGCTGCTCTATCTGATAGTAATGGCGATGGCGCCTGGCTACAGGAAACCTTCCCGGCTTGGCTAAAAGAGATTGTGACCTGCTTCCACATGGTATAACGGGAGCATGAAAATCTGCACTTAACTGAAGCTTTAGATTAGAGACAATTACAGACACAGCGGCATTAACTGGGCAACCTCTTTTAAAACCCAGGGAGTATGAAGCTATTAGCTATTCAAATGACGTGAATTAGTTTAACATTTATTGACTGTTTCTAATATCTAACAGAGCTACCTGGGAAGTAGGCACTTGGATGGGAAAGTACAGGAAACGCCAGACAGAGAAGTGATTGGGGAGCACGGACATTGGTTACCGAAGGCCACAGATGGAGCGCTGTTGAGAAGATTGGGGGTGGGAGGGCTGTCCCGAGCAATCAGAGAACAGAGTGGGTGTTGCAGAGGGTTTAGAAAAGAATTCTGAGAGGGAGAATCAAAAGGCTCCTAAACATTGTTTGTAAAGCAGTCCCGTGTTGTATTTGTGATCTCCTAGTCTAGTACGCTAAAGAATAGGAGGTGATCGAAGGTGGAACCAGGAGGAAACATTAGTACTGATAAGAATGGGCAAAATGGATGAAATTGTGAGGGCCTGATGATTTTTAACGGAACAGTTGCTTTGTTCACTTTCAGAGGTAACATACATGCAAGAAATTTGGAAAACATAAAAAAGCCCAAAGGATCCAGCAAACAAACTAAACCAGAATTAATCCCACCCCTCAGAGACAACCTTACCATTTTTGCATGTATGCTTCTGATCTCTTGTCTATGAACATATTCATTCCTGTGCATATCTTTTCTAGAACGTAAACTATACCTTACTGCACATACTGTTCTACAGGCTGTGGAAAAAATTTCTCTATCTTCCTATTGTTCTGCACACTCCGTCTTTCCCACCCTGTCTCACTGCCCTGTTGCAGGGAGGTTGAATGCTGTAGATCAGTGGTTCTCAACCTTCCTAATGCCGAGACCCTTTAATACAGTTCCTCATGTTGTGGTGACCCCAATTTCATTGTTACAAATTGAACATAATTAAAGCATAGTGGTTAATCACAAAAACAATATGTAATTATATATGTGTTTTCCGATGGTCTTAGGTGACCCCTGTGAAAGGGTCGTTCAGCCCCCAAAGGGGTCGCGACCCACGGGTTGAGAACCGCTGCTGTAGATGGACCCAGCTCACCCAGGGGCCTCTTTGTTCACTAACACGGTACATCGGCTCTGCTTAAGATGACAAGGCTCTGCTGACTTGTAATCTTTGCATATATTTTCTTTCTAAGAATAAGAGGCTTTTAAGTGAGCATGTAAGATAAAACAAAATAGATTGATTAATGTAATCTATGGCCTAGCATTCAGGGCCTCCCATTTGTGGAACAAAACCATGTAATCACAGCCTGGGGTGAGCCGACTCTGCACACAGAGAAAAAAGCTGGGATATGCCGAAGGAGACGTACACCCACAGTGCACGGGGTACCTCCCTGCACCTTCTTAAGAGACCTCCCGTCTCTTTGGCTTCAGACTCCCGATGCTGGCCAGTGGGGCAGAGTGCTGAGCCTTGTCTCTCCTTCCTGCTACTGCCGCCTTAACTGAACACTTTTTCCGCTCGTGGATGACTGCAAAAGCCTGTACGTTTTCTTTCCGCCCCTAATCTTGCCCTCTGCGACGCCATCCTTACCCTGTGAAGATAAATGAGCTTTCTAACATGAGGTGAAGCTTCATGGCCCTTTGGGGCCAAGCCTCCCAAGTCACATAGCTTCGTTTCCACCGTATTCCATTGGTCACAAGTCACAAGCCTGCCTCCGTTCAAGGGAAGGCACAGAAATTCCACCTCTAGATGGGAACAATGTCAACAATTTTGGAGTTATGTTTTAAATCATCGATCTATCTATCTTTTAGATTTGAATACCCACAAATTAAAGAAGACACACCAAACTGTTAAAGCTTAGAGGAGGGGAGGAGACTTTCACTCTTCATTCTCCACACTTCCAAAGGAGGAACAACTAGTGGGATTATGGGTGATTTTCATTTTTTACAGAAAATCGCTTCCCCTATTATCGCAAGCCCCACAAAGGCTAAACACATGATGGTACGTCCTAAGTGAACACATTCTAAAAGCAAGTGCCAGACCTCCTAGCTATGCAGGACACGCAAAGACAGTGTTAGTGTGTTATCCACCTTCGGGTCAGGGAAGAGAAGCTAGAAGCAGCCTGTGGGGGCCGTCAGAGGCCAGATCGGGACTTTGTAGAGCGTGGTCCTGGTGCTGTGTGCCACAACTCACCTCATCCCTGCTCTGCCATTGGATACAGCCCCTCATCTTAAACCAAGTGAGAGGGGTTCACAAAAACCATTTGGAGATCTTGACCTATGTCTCCTGGAGTTTGAGGGACACGGGGACTGGAGACTGACTTTCACCAGAGAAGCCTAAAGGTGAAAGGCCGGCTGGGGAGGCCTGCCTTGCAGCAGAATGAAGAAAGAGGACTCAGTGGTAGGGAGCTGCACTTTCACTGATGGGTGGGCCACGGAATGGAGGAAGTCCATGGGCCACTGAATGGCATGAAGGATGCCACCCAAGAGAACCACCTGGGAGGTGAAGAGACCTGGTGGAAGTGCACTGCAGCCAGGGGTCCCTGGTAGACGGATCTGCACAAGGTGCAGGTGCCACACCAGATGACAACTGTATCAGTCCCACAAGTCTGGGCCATTTGTCCCTAATCCTTCCTCAAGGGCCCAAGGAAAGAGTAGCTAGTGGTTACAAAAAGAAAAGATTAACCAAAGAACTTAAATGCACATATGCATAGCCCATGGACACAAACAATAGTTCGGTGAAGGCCTGGGGGTGGGGTGGAGATGGGGTGAAGGGGTCAGTGGAGGGAAAAAAGGGGATATCTGTAATATTTTCAACAATAAAAATGTTATGTGTTTTTTTTAAAAAAAAAAAAAAAAGGAAAGGAAAAGAAAAGACTGACCATGCACTCCTCCTCCACTCCAAGCTTCCCAGATTGAAGCAAGCCTAGCTGGAGGAATGAGAGGAATTTTAAAATAAATTAAAGATTGAAGATGTAATACTGAATTTGACGTGGCTTTTAAAGTATTTAAATGAGGGCATCCTCATGATGGAATAGGATCAGAAAAATTATGCATGGGTTTTCTAGAGCAGCAGGAGAAAGAGTAAAAAGTTGCTTCTTTCTAGAGCTATATCTCTATATTGAATGTCCAGTACATTCAATAAATCTACTGTGTTTTTTGTGCTTTTCTGATTTTCCAATTTTTATTTGGAACACATACTGCTTGCTATTATTTAAATGCACATCTAGTCATATCACTTCTATGTTTAAAAACCCTCAATGCCTTTGCATTGCCCTCACGATAAAGGTTACTTTTAAAACATGGCTTCCCAGGCTTTTCAGGATCTAGCCCCTGCCTACCTCTCCAGCCTCCTCTCCTAGCCTCCTCTCATCCACACACAACCTATAGTCCTGCCATATGGACATAAAGGTTCCAAATGCATCATAGTCTCCTGTGTCTTTCCTCAGATCACATTGTTCATTTGGCCCAGATCATCCCTCACCATCACCCTTGTCTGAAGGGTTGGCTCCAATCCACCCTTCAGCTCAGCTACCACCTCTGCAGGTTCCAAAAAATTTCAGTTGGAGAGTTCATTTAGGTCCGAAACTGGGCTTTCCAGTTGGTATTTCTAGTGCCTGAGACCAAGTAACACAGCAGGCACTTGGTATCCAATCCTATAAATAAACCGTCATAAACAAATGATGGCTGGTGACCAGTCCAAGTTTCATAAGTGAGGGAAGTCGGGAGAGGCCAAGAAACATAGTCATCGATCATCTTTCTGAGATGATGAAAGGATGTCAGTTCTTTGTGCCTCGCTGACATGAGGCAGAGGAGACCGTGGAAGGCTTTTGGAAGATGATGGCTCCCCAGTGTTGATGAAGTTCATCCTCTGCCCAGCTGCAGGTCTGGCCACTGACCTGCCCAAACAGTGACCGCTTTTACTTGAACTATACCTTGAAATCTGCAAGATTCTGTCCTTGGTGTAGGCTGCTGCTCTGTTCTAATTTGGTCTTGCTAAACTACTCTTTAGGTTTCAGACTTGTGGGTCTTTCTCCTGAACCTTGCTAAGGGGATTTGATCATACTTGGGGTGTTGGACTTGGGGTGCTAAGGCTCCTGTGGGACCTTTTGGATGAGAGTGAAAGCTC